ACATACATACAGACAGACAGACAGATAGATAGATAGATAGATAGATAGATAGATAGACAGATTTTAAAACATTCGGTTATGAAAAGGTACAAATACGAACTTTTCACCTGGAAAAACTTATTTAAGGTTCACAATCAGACCTTAAACCACTGTTGTACCTTCAAGGGAACATTTACACTGTTTGTACCTTGATGAATGAAACATGTACCTGCACAGAACCTTTATTACTAACAGTGTTGGGTTTCAGTCACATGATTTTTCTGTTGTGGCCGCCATATTTGGGACCAAATTTCTGGCTTTGCTGCTCCACATGAACGTAGCTAGAGGTCAAAGATGGCTAAAATTACTCTCCTTACTCTGAAAGAGAAAAACGTTACCTTGACTAAGTCGATAAAGTGGGCTGTGATCCTTATACAGTTTCCCCTGAACTCCTGGTTCCACTTAAACTGGCGGAAAGCTACCGAATTTGTGTTTTCCTGATATTTGTATTGATCTCATACTCAGCCCCTCTCCCTATTCTGGAGGGTCTCTCACAGCGTTTAAAAGCACAGAAGCCCACCGGCTCTTCACGTCAGGGTGGGTAAAGGATCCCATGGTGCTGCATAAAGAGGAGAAACACTCCGTCATCATAGGAGGGAAACGACATCAGCTAATTAACACAGATGTGATCAATGCTGGCCTTTAGATAACTTTAGCTAATGTTAACAGCCGAGAGGTAAACAGTCGCCCCCCTAACGGAGCTGCAGACAGCTGGTATAACTTCACTCTCTGTTTCTGGAGATTTAAATGTGGTTTGGCGTTAAATATCAGACTGAATGTCGTGGGTCGGAAAACGACGTCGTGTTTCGACAGATGTGATTCTGTAAGTTTGCTAGTGCAGTTAGTTCAGAGTTCAGCTCCAGTCCTGAAACCCCTGCACTGCATAACTGTGGTTTCCTGGTTAAAATACCTGATATTATTAGCTAATTAATCCCTTCTTGAGCTGAACGAGGTGTAAACAGCAGAGAGAAACACTAAACTATACAGTGCAGCGGCTCCAAGCCTGGAGTGAAAACACTGAATTAAAGGTCTGTGTAGTCTTTCGGGTTCTGTCGCGTCGTGCAGGTGAATCACTCACAAAACAACCAATTGAAGGCATCGTGCAGCGCAGTCACTCCCTGATTCGGCCCTCAAAATGGCGCCGTCTATACAGTGTGACGTCACGCAAAACACAAGAATAGAAACATGAACAGCCAAAGAACCATTTGCATGTTTCGTTGCATGTTTAAATGGTTCTCCAGATCAATGGAAGACTTTGAAAAGGGTTCTCTATAGCAGCAAAAAGGGTGCTGCTGTTGTTACGATGTCAGGTTTGTAACAGTAGTAGAACCCTTTTTGGTAGTAACCCCAGTCTCTGCGCGTCTCTGACTTATGTGCAGGTTCGTCACGTTTATATCTCAGATATGACCTTAATTTGGGCCTCAACCTTTAAGGCCTGCGGTCATTCTGACAGCCAGTGAGTGTTTCTGGGTCTGGAGTTCATCAGAAAATCATGCTTTGTAACCAAAGTTGGCTGTTCAGGCTCTTTGAGAACACAGAGCACGCTGACTCATGTGGCCCTGTGGCACAAACCAGAGGCTGTCAGTGAAAATTTGGACTTATTTAATTAGTGGCCTGTCGGTGTGCTTTTAACTCCCCTTATTTAGAGAAGCAGCAGCAGGGAGAGGCAGACTTCACAGCCTGGCCTGCTCTTTCTGTCCATCCCAGGGCCTGGATCCTTGTGATCACACAGTTTAAAAAAAAAAAACTGCATTATACAGCCATAGATTTGGTTCAGAGACAAAGCAGATGAGTATGTATGTGCAACCTATGGCTTCAATCCTGGACCCCAGTATCACAGTCATACTTTAATCCTTTAAAAAGATTCAATA